CACTTATTAGTAACCTTAAGATAGAGTTGAAGTTTCTCTAAAACAGTATCACATGAATTGATTGTTAGGTCAGTACAAAATTACTTACCGTTTAAAATATTTAAGTTGTTATATCGTTTAACAAGTCGACGTAAACACTTGAATTTATAATATTTCTAGTTATATCTTAAGAACTGTTAATTGTCACATTGAATTCAAACTATAATAAGTATTATAATTTTATTTCGAAGCGTTTAGAATAAGATGACCTACTGACACACAGGTTTGCGAGGCATACATAAATGTTTTATCTCATATCTAATTAATTCGCTGAATAAAATACTGAATATGTGTATTGTCAGACAATAAACAATAATAAGTATCACCGGATATGAAAATTTAATTCGAGTCTATTGTCCTATTCTAAGACCACACCCTTTAAATCTAACAACCGCTTCTAAGAAAAACCTGGGGCTCTTCACGACTTATTTTTTTGGTTTTGCGTTGTATGTTTTACTTTCCGTATGCAAATGCCCTATGAGAACCGAAATTGTTACATTATTTTTAGTAAGATACTAAAACACATTAGTCAAATATTATAGTGAGGTTTTTACTTTGCATTTTTCAACAATAAATCAGAAAAGTATTAATACCCTAGCGACCAATATTTGTCCGTCCAGAGTTGTTTGTCGCTCAGTCTGAACCTTTTATATTTAAAAATAATGAATCACAGTAAAATCGGTGAAAAATAACCACACTGTAATTCTTGCATAAAATGCTGGGTTAAATCGTACTAGCGTGTTGTATAAGTAAACGAAAATATACTAACATACTATTATGTTATATAAAATTAATCAGACAGTATTGTATTAAGGAAAGCAGTAAGTTCACGATTTGTCTAATTACTAGAATCAAGAAGAGATATAAACAAATAGATTTTATAATAGTTTGATATGCTTATTTCACAGTTTTTCTACCAACGGTTCCGATGCAAAGAAATAACACGTGTGTAATAAACGCGTGATTTATGGATGGTTTTACATTCTTAGTCATATAGCACTCGAATTACTCTGATATACAGTTAGACGTGAGAATTAACTCTGCCGAGCTGATACAGTTACATTTTTTAAAGATTCATGCATTGTTTGCTATCTTATATTACAACATTATAGCTGATTTTAATTTTATATAAGCGGAATCATGAGTCATTTTCATCTTGACGAAGCTTAAATATTTATATATATATATATGCATGAGTCTCCAATACTGTTTCTCTTACATTAAACGACCAGGTATTTTTTTATTATAAACATAGCATCCTTCCTATTTAAGATATTAGTCTTGTTTGATAATAGATGAATGTTAATAGCAACAAACTTAATTTAAAACACTGAACAATACATTAAACACGTTAAAAGACATAAAAGTATGTTCTACAAATTAATCTGGTATCGTATGAGTACACGGGATAAGCTACACAATTGGTTATGTGTGCTTTATTAACTACGAGGAATCGAACCCTGGGATTTAGCTTTGTACGTCCGTAAGTTGACCCACCGACAGACCATAGGATAAGTAAAATATAAGATAAAATTTATTTAACGTTTGAAAACTACTCAATTTATGATAAACAAACACTGAACCTGTATATCTCATTTAGCTAATTGTAAAATAAGGGCAGATGGCACCAAAATGTTCATGGATGTCTAACCTTTAACCAATAAAGATTAATGAGTTTTTCAACTTGGTCCGACATATTAAAACAGTGATTTCTTGTAATTTGTTTATGTTCCTAAGTGTATCAAAAAGTATTTAAATGATCTTATCTTTTTTTATAAGTTTTACCGATCTTTCCATCTGGCTAAGTGTCACATTCAGTTTCCGAGTTTTGTCATCTACAGTTTTATATGAAATCATACTTTTCTGATTGCAACTTTCGTAAAGCCAGTTAAAATTAATGTGATACTTATAATGGTATCTTATGAGCACGTGGGATAAATTGGCAGGACACAGACCCTTAGGTTCATGTATAGTCGTACTTATGTAGTTTGGAGCTACTGACCAGAGGAAAGACAGCAGCCAGAAGCACCCATCGCCACAAGGCCTTGTCCATTTCTTTGAACCAAATAACTGGATTATCTGTAAATTTTATAATGTGCCCTCAACTGAAACTAGGGAACCTGTGCAGCGGTATTATGTCTCGAACCTTGGACTCCTTGATCTGCAGCCTGGCACCTTAGCCACTAAACCTGGCTCTACTTTGTTTTATATGATAGCTAAACAAAATACAATTATTTTGAGCTCATACAAACAAAGTTTTCCAGCATGGCTTTCATTCAAAACAAGGATTTCTAACTTGGCATATGTTTTACAATACATGCCAAGTGTATTATCATCTTTTACCTTTTTTCAATGCTATCCTATTTCTTTTATATATCTTTTTCCTGTTTTGACTGGGTACTCCAACATTCCATTCGATTGCGATTTTAATTTTTATACGTCGGATTTATAAACGTATTTTCCTAAATTATTTATGTATCAAATTGTTTGTATATCTAAGACTTAAATAGTTACAGCGTCCCTTATAATTATATATGAAACATACAAAACATAAAAATACTATTAGTTTTGCAATTAATCCCACTAATTAGTATGCATTTTTGCTGTTCTAAATTCATTAATATTTAAAACATGCCATTACTTAATATGATGCAATGATTATTGGACCTCACTGGTAATAAATGGTATAAAAACAAGTCGGTAATTTGATGGATAAACTAAAATTTATTAGATACTGTAAATGAAGAAGCAGAATAATTTATCAGTATTACGTTAATGACCTTTACTTGTAATCAGTATTAACTGTTAGCCCCCTTTAGCAATCTATAGTTGTCTACAATATCTCAAGGCAGTTGCTAATAGCAATTCCTAGCTAAATTTGCTTCTTTAGTCTCAAAGGATTTCTATTCTCGTCAGTTTAATGAAATATTTATTATTGTTTAGGAGAACCAAATTTGTCTTTGGTGATTATTTAATAGGAGAGTTGGAAAAGTAAGTTCTACGTGAAATTTTGTTCAGTGGATATTACACTACATATAAGTTGCAAATACTTGCTTTAACTTTTGATTCATCCCGAATTGGATCTCTACCAGTTATTTTGAACCCGCAAAATAATAAAAAAAAAGTGTTCAAATCCTATAATTCCGTCCAACAAAAGCAGCTCAAGAGTTGATGGTACAAGTTATTGTTACAAAATGCCGCACTATGTCTACCACGGCTGGGGTACAACTTGTTGCGAGTCTTTTTCTGGAAGGATTTGCTGGTCCAAGTTGAAACATATTTCTATGTTTTCCAATGTCATTAAGTAGAAGGGATATCCCCGTCTTGAAAATTCTAAGTTATCGATCTGAAGGTATTTTATTTTCTAGGTGTATGAATAATTTCGTCTGGAAGGGTTGTTACATACTCTTCCAGCTTACGAACGCTAAACAGTCCAAATACAGCTCTGATACATTCCGTTGCACCCAACTTTATATCAGTTGCTGTTGTTACGTGACTTGCTGATTTGCATATTATATTACTAAAATAAAAAAACTATTTATTACGCTCAGGTAATAATATGGCTACTACTAACTATGACAACTGATATCCGATCGTCACAATCTTACCTAACGTAACGTGTCTTGATAGTTTGATGAATAAAACTTTCTTAGCATAAAAAATATAGTGATATTTACAATATTTATTTCAACAATCAATAATTTTTTTCAATGAAATTATCTCTATAGTGGCTCCGCTGAAAGTCTGGAGGCTTTTAACGCTAAAACCGGGTTCTATACCCAAGACTGGCACAGCCCTATAGCCCATTATGTAGTTTTTTTGGAACGAGCTAAAAAAAAAGTCATTTTTTATTTCGATTTTTGATAGCCTATACTTAAATATCAATGAAACAAAAGTTCTTTTATGATCTGTTATACTTCTGCTCAAAAGTTACTTAATAAATAAATGTTACACGTCTTGATTTATAAGTTATATATATTATTTCAATTAAACTACAGTAATGAACAGGAATGTCTTTCCAATGTTTATGATACATAATTCTGAATAAAGCCGATAGTGATCAGCACAAAAGCTCTTCCAATTCCATCAAGTGAGCATTGATTG